AGGAGGGAGGGGGGGAGGGGGTTGTCAATCAAATTGAACAACTACTGGAAGAGGGTGATCTATCAGGCACCAGTTTGAATCTGCTTGATTGCCCTCCCAATCCAGGCTTGTCTTGTTCGCCAGGGGGGTTTAACCGAAATTGTCAGGTGCTACTGGCGGCATTTAACTTTCATATTGACGTTCCTGGCCACAATTTCGGTGTTTTTTAACCGAAATGCTTGTCATTGGGGGTTTTAACCGAAATCGTCGGCTCCTACTGGTAAGCACTTTCAACCCCTTGGGGCATTTAACTTTTTCTTTTTCTTTTTCTTTTTTTTTGGGCATTTAACTTTGATGTTCCTGGGAATCCTGGCCACAATTTAGGGCCAGATCCGACTGGCAAAGAGGATTGGAAGAAGTGTCTGAATCTGGACGTGTTCCACGCACAGGTGCAGAAAAATAGATCAATCACAAAGTTTTGCACCTGTCCACAAGCACGTCCACATTCAGACACTTACTGCAATCCTCTTTGCCAAGGGGATCTCGCCCTTGATGATCTGTAAGGCAGCAGACTCACACGCTGCACTTTCCTACGTATATCTTTTTTTTTTTTTTTTTTTTTTTTCCTGCAGAGCTTTCCTACGTATATCTGTAAGGCAGCAGACTCATCACACACTGAACTTTCCCACATGTATCTGACCGCAGCAAGTACGGACTCAGCGGACTGCACTGCGGGGCAAAAGTGCATCAGAGTGGGTCCGACGGCAATCATCGCATCGAGAGGTGAGTCGAAAAAAGGCCTAGCGTTTTCACCCGAATAGAACGCCCGGTAATTATTGCCGTATCTGGACTGAACTTTGGACCACAAACAGCTACAATGACGGGCGTTCTATTCGGGTGAAGACCGTAGTGTGAGTATGCCCCTAAGCTTAGATTGATACTCCAGACTCCAAAACTGGAGGCTAGGCTCGCACTATAACTTTCCTGGCTTTGTCTGCGGCGGTTCATGTGGGATGTATCTGACTGCAATTCCATCCAAAAATAAGTTGAAAAGGTCCCTACGTTAGTGCGATTATGTTTGCCCTCGGTTTGAAGCACGGTTTAATCCACCGACCCAGCAGTATACACAGGTCGTCAGACCGCAGCCTGATAAGCTGCTAGCCTGCTCACATCGGGCAGTCTCTTACTCATCCAACGCAAAAAGGGCGGAAAAAGACAATGGCTCCCGAGGCCTACCATCCACGCTCTACTACAAACATGGACCACAGCCAACGGTCAAGAAGACAATCAAACCTCGGTTACATTGATAAGTCCCGTCTGTGTGAGCGGGTAAGAGTACCAGCAGGGGTTACGTGCTGACTACAGAGCGAAGTGTACGAGAATTGCCGTGTCCGTTGGTGTTGTGTGTGGTGTGTGTTGAGTTGGACACTACAGCCTTGCAGGGGTGGGATGGATATCACTACCGGTACGATTCCACTTTTGAACACCATGTCCTGGCTGTAGTGGTTAAGAGACTTGGCTTTTGAGGCCGAAGTCCCCAGTTCGAATCTGTGCTCGCACGGAGAAGGGTTTAAGCCCAGATGTACGAATCCATAACTACTAACTACTGTAGCCTCCATATAGTGTAAAAGGCAGACAAAAAAGAAGATACTACCTGTCTCTTATACACATCTAGATGTGTATAAGAGACAGGAGGAGGACTTAGGCCCAGATGTTCGGAATCCATACTACTGTACCTCTACCTCGTTGAGTCTCTTTTTTTTTTTTTTTTTTTTTTTTTTTTTTTTTTTTGGGAAAAAAAACCCGAGTGAATGCTAGGGTTGCTGATACGAGCAGACAGTCTCGACAGATATGAAATCGAGAACCCAATATCAAAGTTATCCTTCCTGTTCTCTCTCTCTCTCTCTCTCTCTCTCTCTCTCTCTCGCTGTGTGTGTGTATGTGTGTGTTGAGTCTCGACAGATATGAAATCGACAACCCAATACCAAAGTTATCCTTTCTGTTCTCTCTCTCTCTCTCTCTCTCTCTCTCTCTCTCTCGCTGTGTGTGTGTGTGTGTGTGTGTGTGTGTGTGTACTCTTCAAAGTATTGTTGCATGCACAATAGTACATTGAAGACTCCATCACGCCCCACCTCCATGTCCGCCCCCCCCCCCTGCTCCCTCCGACCCTCTAATTAGAGACTAGCCATTTCTGAGCTATGTGGAGGTCTGCTACTTGCCGCCTACCCTCTTCACTCGAACAGAGCACCCGGTCCTTATAGCTGTATCTAGGGCAACTTCAGTCCACATGCAGCGATAATGACACGGCGTTCTATTCGGGTGAAGACGATAGTAGTGCTGTGGTGCTCGCCAAACCCAGACGATGATCCATTTGCGAGCTAGTATGGGTCTCATTTATGCGCCAGATAATCATGACAACCCAATTCAAAAAACAAACAATGCTGCTTTTGGTGTGTGGATTTTGTTTCTTTGAAATTTACTTAAGAATCGTTTTCAAAATCAACACACCTCTACTCAGATTGGTCTTAAAATAAATAAATAAATAAATAAATAAATAAAAATTGAATTCTCTTTACTGTTTCCAGTTACACTGACAATGACCAAGCCCAGTCAAGCAATGCCATGTGATGCGATGGTGACATAAATGCAGCTACTGAGGGCATATACTCGGACTACGGTAGCACTCTTGTTTTTATTTCGGTATGCAATTGCGGCTAGATGCATGCTGATCCGGCCATAAATGTGGTTAGATACATTCAAGATAGTGCTACCTACAGTAGTGTGAGTACTGCCTGACCTACCAAATGGAAAACGGAGCCTGGCGCCCAGCCCAGAAAAAACAAAGGCGCTATTTCATGGCTTCGCCAGTTCGGCGAAGAGTAGAAATCGACGTCCGACTCGGAGAACAGAGTCTCAAATGTGATGGTGGTTTAATAAAAAAAAAAAAAAAAAAATGGTAAAAGGGGGCAAGTACCGATGGAGCCACACCCAAGGTTCAGAATATAGGCAACTTCAGCAGTTCCCAAAATGGACGGAAAAAAAAAAGGAAACCCTAAATCTACCAAGCTCCCCTGCGGGCAAAAAATCACTGCCGCAGTTTTACAACCCCCCCGGCTAAACTTGCACATTTTGAAACTCCACACCAAACCATGACACCCGCGCCACATTGTCTTTTCTTTTTTTTTTTTTTT